ATGAAGTAATTTGAAAACCTTATGTGAGACTGACGGTGAATATAATTTCACAAACCGCGTGAGTGAATCACAGCGCGGTCTCTCTCTTTCTTTGTACACAGCTGCACAGTTGACACAGGAATTGTCACTTGCACAATCGAGGCAGTGTCGCATCGTCACTAAAGTTTGTAAATTGCATTTCTTTGTAATTCTTGCTAGTGTTTAATCATTCAGAGTTCGCACGGTCTCCAGGACACTCCAGGACACTCACTCATGCACACTCGAAGCGCACACACATAATGGCAGGTTCACATTACTCCGTTTGCAGTGCGTATGCTTTGCGTATTTTTTCTGCGCTCATGTTAATGGATTAAAGCATTCACACTGCAGTGACTGCACACGGTTGCGTCCGGCAGTGCGTTCCACGAGCGTCTGCAGCAGTGCAGAGATCATTTCCGCTGCACGCGCTGAATTAAAGTAACAGCGCATTGTTTGCGGTAAATAATAACATGGATTGACACGAAAATGTAGTAATTACTCCATAAATTCATATAATTAAAGTCTACTGTGTTTCACAGTCCACACCTCCTGTTGGTGCGAGCGAGCGGTCAGTCACATGTGTGTAGGATGGCCGAACTTAAGGAGCTTCCTCTGGAACTTACGCCATCGGCAACGGGACGTTTTTTGTCTTATTGCAAGCCACTCGTCTCTGTTCTGGACTTGCACAAACTGTTGCAATGCAATCATTTTCCAAAATGTAATTTATGTGAAAATATGAAGTCTGTAAACGCCCGTTAACACAAGCCAGAGACGCTGAAGACGAACGCACAGAGAAAAATACTGTGGCAGGCAGATCACTCACTGTTCATGATGCATGAACTATTGGAAGAAAATCCTCAATATTGATTTCGGGGTTTATATGAATGCGTTTCTGAGGGGAACTGACTGTCTTCAGAAAAGTTTACGTGGTATTTTCTTTTTTTTATCTTGTCTCTATAGTTCATATTAAAGCAGTGTTTCATTCAGTGCAGTGCTGCTTTGTTTACAGCGGTAACCAAGGAAACGCTGCATCTGGTGTTCCAGAAGCGCCTCCTGCTGTCAGAGAGTGAATCTGCGTCTCATTCAGAGCATTTGCTGTTTGCTTCGTTCAGGCATGTAGTATAATTTCACAAAGCTAGTTAGAACAGAACATTCAGTTTTTGCTTCAAATTGGGTTATTATTAAATCAAATTATGTGTATGAAATTATATAACTAAATGATATGAAATGATATAAATGATATGTATATGAATTATATAACTAAAATTAAAATGACAGTTTTTATTTTTCTTCTTTTTAGGAAACAAATCAAAGAAAAAATAAACAAATTCTACTCTTCCTAATATTCTGTATGTTGCTCAAAAACAAAATATATTGTGTTTAGCTGAAAAAAAGTTTTTTGTTTTTTTTTTACCCAGTCATTTAATAATAACACATTTTAGAGCTGTAATGACAATACCGGGATATCGTGAAACCGTGATATTCTTGCTTATCATACCGTCAAAATCTCATACCGGCCCATGCCTAGTCCACACATATGGCTTTTTGGCTATAGGTTTAAATGAAAAGAGCTCTTTTAGATAAACAAGGCAATAATAGCTGGCACTCGTGGAGGTAGGAAAACAGTTGTTTATTAACCGCAAGATTTCTTGTAATAAAGATTTAAATGCAAAAGAAAAGGCAGTAGAGCTGGCTGTTTCTGTCAATGGTAAGTTTTAATTTAGAATGTTTGTGATAACATAAGAAAAGTAGTTAGAATATTTTGCCACTTGCTAGAGCAACTTAATGTATAAATCTAAAAGTAAATGCAAAAGTAAAAAGCATTGAATTATGTGTTGCTTATATAGGGCTGGGCGATATAGCTAAAAAATGTATCAACGATATAATGTTTCATATCGTTCGGTATCGATAATTATTGACATTTTTTATAACCTTTTTTTAAAACAAAGCAATAGAAAAAACTGTTTAAATTTAACCAGTATTTTTAAATTAACCCAATTTATTGAGACAAACAACAAATATTTTTTGTTTTAACAGTCAAACACACAATAAAAATTCAACAAATATCTAATTTCTAAAGTTTTATATGTAGATTAAATAGGTTTTAAGGAAATTTTGGCTTGTCTCCCGAGGCCACAGGAGGGCGCAATGAGCAAAATAATGCAGCACATTTAAATGGTCAACTCAAGGATTCAACTGTCTATTAAAAAAAACGTGCATTACGTCTAAATTAACTCATATAAATCAAATATAATTTTGTAAATTGCATAAACAATTATGAACAAAACAGCATCATGTATTTATGCATTGCTTAATACAAAGAGCCGAATCTCCCATCACACAAATTGCCTTTAAAAACATATGAGACGCAGTGAAAAGAAATAAACCTCCATAAATTCGCGACGTGTTTTCTAAAAGTTTAAACTGTTTTAACTTTGCATGGCTTTCTATACATCTCTTGTGTGAGACGCGAGTGCAGCAGTCAAATTTTGTCCATCTAAAAAATGCGCTGAATATGTGTTCTGTGTGAATGGCTTGGTTTCGGTTTTCACCTAATCAAGATCTTCTCCACATTGAGCTTCTATAGGTTTCTCTAATATTTTGAATGCATAACAGCAGCGGCGCATCTCGTGGGCTAGACTAACAAAACATTAAAATGCAACAACGTCACTTACATTATTATCACCGCATCTCGTGCGCCACTGATGACGCTTCCTGACGCACTCCTAACATTCAAATGCAAATGTTTATTTTAAATTTGACTAATTTTAATTTTTTTTATTCAATCTCCTCATCACTGGCAGGCACAGCACTTAATTCAGCATGTGTTTGTGTGTGCTGTCTGTGTCACTCATAGCACGTGCACTGTATCGTCGATAAATATCGATACCGTTTTATTACCCAGGCCTATGCTTATATTTATTGCGTTTAAACACGTCTATGAAAGACTGTATTACTCTACTGTGTAAAAAAAGAATCACAATGCTGAAAAAGCATTTGAAATCAAAATAATGGATAAATGTTGTGTTTGTGGAAATCAGGCTTAAAAACAAAAATGCACTGCATGATCAAACATTTAGGTGAGGTTTTTGCAAAATGTTTAAAAAATGCCCCCCCTCCACCCCTCAAATTAAAAAATCCCCTCTCACAAGAAAGAGAGGAATTCCCCCATTTTCAAAAATGAAATTCAGGCCCTGAATAAATGTCTAAATCCTGATTGGAGTATCACTATAAATAATTCTACAAGATAAAAAGAAGGCTTTAAAAAGATTGGTATCGGTGATCGTATCGGCAGATGCTGCTTTCTGTGATCGGCCTCAAAAATCCTGATCGGAGCACCCCTACTAAATACCTTTTCAAGTTAATCAAATCTGCAAGTTATGCCAGTGTGTTAGATGTTATTGGCTGTTGTCTTAATAAATTGTTTGAGCGTCTTGTGCCAGGAAAGTCTGACCTGCTGTGTTTTTCTGAGGTAATTGAGGAAACTGAGGATGTTCAAGTGCTCTATTAAAGGTGGGGCAAGCGATTTTTCAAAAACCAAATAGCAAAACAAACTTATAGCCAATCAGCAGTAAGGGGCATGTCTACTCATGATGTGTAGGAGAGAGAGTTCAGTGCACAGGACGGACATTAGCCGAGCCAAGCGACAGAAAGATAGAGATGGCGGTTAAAAAAACAAAAGAGGAAAACCTCTGCGGAACAAACGAAGGCTTAATGCAAGAAGTAGAACCCGTGTAAATATCGAATCAGCTTTCCAGCGCTGGAGAGAACTCAAGGAGTGGAAGGCCTGCGATCGGACGCCGAGGTTGCTTTGTTTCTTCTCGATAGGTGAGTAACACCGTGTATGCTCCGCAACAGCTAAAGTCTGTCTAGTACACTGGACGCGACAAAGCGACCGTTGAAAATCATTTGAAATTTTTGTAAATACGTCATAAATAGAACACAGCAGCAGTTTTCTGTCGGGGATTTGTTGTGTCATGCCGCGCCCCATCCAGTGTAGACACGGTGTAATACTGGTTTTGCTTTTTCACAGAACTAATCGTTGCCTGGGTTGCATACGTATGTGTGGGGCGGAGCTATCAAAATAGGGGCGAGACCCTTTTGGGGTAGGGGCGTGTTTGTTTTGGTGATTTCAAATGTCAACATTGGCTACCAGAAATCGCTTACCCCACCTTTAAATGATGGAAGTGTTTTTGTCTCTCCTCTGATCTTTCAGGATGCATAGCCTCTGTGTGCTTGTAAAAAAGATTAGCTTGTTAGTGACTGTTGCCATTTGTGCTTCTAATAACTGAAGGGACTTCTGGGAATGTTTTTTAACTTTTTTCCTGTGTAGATTAGGCTATACAGTACTTACTAGTTTTTACATGCAAAAACATACATTTGCCAGAATTTTGAAGTAAAATTTTATGTGATGTTAAATAATTAACACATTTTCAACATTTAGCTATGGTAACCAGTTAACAGGTATTTACTGTACATTTGTACAGTATTTTTCTGTACAAATTACCACCATTCTTTTTTGTGCATATGTTGTAATTTAGCCCTGTTGAGCTAGTTCATCAATATTCAGTGGAAATTACTGAATGTTACTATGGAAAAAACAAAACAAAAATCAAAACAGCACTTTTACCATTTGAATTGAGTTGTGTTCAATTGCATTGTGTAATGCCAAAATTTTGATTAAAATACATGATTAAAAATAATGAAAAATATTAGTATTATCCTCTATTATAATTTTGAAATCACTATTGACCAAAAATGTCCAATTAGTTAGATACATATTCAAGATTGCCAATTGAATGTGGTTCTAGAACAAAGTTCTCAGTAAGGAGTCTTGTTTAAAATGTGTGCCTCAGATCCATTTTAATCTATAGTGTGTGACACGTAGTCATTGATTTTTCTTCAAAAGTAAATTTAAGTAAAATTACAGTATAATACATTAATTCAAATTAAAGCAAATAAAACTTGTCTCCTTTTACTAGCTCCAAAATTTGGGGATCAACCCAGCCAACATCGGGTTCAGCACCCTGACGATGGAGTCTGATAAGTTCATCTGTATCCGGGAGAAGGTCGGAGAACAGGCACAGGTGGTGATCATCGACATGGCGGACCCAAACACCCCCATCCGCAGGCCCATCTCTGCAGATAGCGCCATAATGAACCCTGCGAGCAAAGTCATTGCACTTAAAGGTAGGAGATATACAGTGGGTACGGAAAGTATTCAGACCCCCTTTCAGAAGAAATGGACAGCACCTGAGTTAAATATGAGTGTCACAGCAAAGGGTCTGAATACTTAGGACCATGTGATATTTCAGTTTTTCTTTTTTAATAAATCTGCAAAAATGTCAACAATTCTGTGTTTTTCTGTCAATATGGGGTGCTGTGTGTACATTAATGAGGAAAAAAAATTAACTTAAATGATTTTAGCAAATGGCTGCAATATAACAAAGAGTGAAAAATTTAAGGGGGTCTGAATACTTTCCGTACCCACTGTAAATGATTAATTCCAGGGATAGTCATATTAACCTAATTGTAATGACTACTGCATTTTTAGCTCAACTGAACCATAGGACTGATCCAATCCATTGTTGTTTTAACTAGAAAATAAGTGTGTTGTTTTCTTAGCTTCATTCACCCAGAGTTCCTTTTTAGTTTAAATTATACTAGACCAATTTCTGTAGCAAGTGTTTTTTGCATTTTCCTCATTATAGGCTACATCTTAGCTTACAATAACATGATATGTTGTGTATTTTCTGTCATGCAGCCATAATTGCTTTGTCTTTTTGTTTTGTTTCCTTTTTTTGTTGCTGCTTTCTCATGTGTATGCAGACGGTGAGTTAACATTTTGGTACAATGATTTGTGAAAGTTATAATCCTGTTTCTAAAATGAACATTATGTAAAGTTGCTTGGCCTCATTGCTTAACCTTGTGTAGGTGTTTCTAGAGCCTCCACTTCAAGCCAGAAAATGTAATAAATAATACTTAAGGCTACACATACACATTGTTACGGACCATTTGGGAAAAAAAGTATTTATATTTTTATGAAATGAACATAAAACAAAAAAAAATCTAAATATTTTCTGAATTCAATTGTAATGAATGTGTTATGAAAACAACAGCAGTTTCAAAATCAACAATATTGCTGTTATATAAATATAGGAGCGGTGTGCCTCAAGGTTCGGACTTAGGCCCCATGTAAATTCAAGCCATGATAGGCAATGTAAAGCAAACATGTCCTGGCATCTCTCTGATATTGTTTACATAGATAAAGACTGTTTAGCCAACAATGTACCACATAATTAACCCACTTTGGCTAAACAGGATTTAACTTTCACAAAATTCGTAGCTTGAATGTTCACATCATGTTGATTTCTGTAGACAACTTTCTCTTTCTGGGGTTTGAAATATTGTTGGGCATACATTTGCTTTTCTCTTTGTTTAATTTTAATTATTATAATTTTAAGTGCTTGCCATATTAAGTCCTTTTCTCCACCCTCACTATGTAATCTTAACATCAAGCATCTCCATATAAATTTCAAGTCCATGTAAATGAACCTGTGTAAAGGTAGCCTTATAGAGTTATGGTTCTTGTGGTAGTTCATAGTCCATTAGGTTTTAATCACTATGCAGCTTGTGTTTAGGTAGCAATTCTGTTACCAACACTGTATCAGTGTCTTAGTTGATGTTTGAATAAATATCAGTAGCCTTTACACTAAGACTGAGTTGAAAGATTTGTCATGCTATACAACTGGCTATTTTATAGTCATCTATCCAATTCTTAGCATGTTATTAATTGTAATTGCTATGTTAAACAATGTTTATGGGTGACATGGAAAAATAAATCAAATTTTCTGCTTGAACAAGGTTTATTTGTAGCATCAAACCAGTTTGCTTTGCCTTTTCAATAGAGGAAAAAAGAGCAGTGAATGAGCCAGAACAGTCACTGTCGCAGTTTAGAATTAGATTGGCTTTTAATCGATTGCTTGTTTGTGGCTACAGGCCATTTTATTAGCTTATTTTGGGTTCATCACAATATCCTGTATGAATCAACCAGCAAATTTCCTGAGCAATATTTTAACCTGAAGTAATCTTGACTTGCTCGGTCCTGCTTCTGGCCTTTGTTCACTGTATATAAACAGATATGAACCAATTAATTAAGGTCTTAAGTTGAGCTTGGTGGGAATGGCACTCTATATTAAGTTAGATTCATGAAAGCAGAATTTTAACTCCTTGACATGTATTTATCGTAACGTTAAGATGTTGTTGTTGTCGTCTTCTGTTAAGTATGTTTAGGACTATAGTGCTGTTTCTTGCTCTCTTATTATGTTGAGACAATCTTGAATGTGGATTCAAATCCCTTCTATCCCTTTTTCATTTTCCAATGCTCTGGCTCCCACATTTGTCATGTGATTTGAGTGTTAGGTTGTATTATGGGAATCTATCCACACAGGCCTGAAATGTGGTGTTGTCGGGTTTCATAATCATTGTAAATAGTCATTTATGCTTCTGTCAGTGCACATAGACTAAATTCTGACCTCTGCAGTAATCAGCTTCACAGCATCCTGCAATCTTAGACTAGTTCTACGTAGAATTTAAAGTCGGCATGAAATGAAAATTCACCCAATCTATTTCCAAATGCATGTTATTGATCTTGGTGTGAATGATTTGTGCATGTATCTGTTTCTTCGTATTTTTGTAACCTTGATCAAACTCCGTCTATCTGTGATTACTACAGGCTTACCTCTGACAAATGCAGCACTTTTCCAATCATAGGCCACTTAACCCTTCTTTTCAAGCTGGCATTCAGATCTTCCACCATTTTTAAGTGTAACAGCCACATCTCAAAATCCAATCAACAACCGACAGGTAGAACCTGTCCCTGCCCTACATTTTTTTTTTCACTTTTTTCGATAATCCTTGTCTCTCAGAAGTATATCATAATATGGAAGAAACAATCTGCCACCACTTCTGTTTCATTGCGACTTTAAAGGGATAGTTCACCCAAAAATGACAATTCTGTCATTAATTACTCACCCTCATGTCGTTCCAAACCTGTAAGACCTTCGTTCATCTTCGGAACACAAATTAAGATATTTTTGATTAAATCCAAGACCTTTCTGTCCCTCCATAGACAGCAAGGGAACTACCACGGTCAAGGCACAGAAACGTAGCAAGGACATCGGTAAAATAGTTCATGTGACATCAGCAGTTCAACCGTAAGTTTATGAAGCTACGAGAATACTTTTTGTGCGCAAAGAAAACAAAAATAACTACTTTATTCAACAATTCTTCTCCTCCTCATCCTGTCTGGAGTGACGTGCTGCCATTACAGAGACAGTATCACGAGTCGCATGCACGCTCTTCCACATCATATAAACAGAGCATGGCGCTGCTGCTTGCGTAACATGCAAATGCTTCGCATGCGTTGTTTGCATGAACTGTAGCGCGCGCATGCGTTGTGATACTCTCTCCACAATCACTTCAAAGGTGCACGCGCCGAAAATGACGTCATCGTGGAGTGGGCGGCCGTGCACGTTGAGTGCGCAAGGCCCCTTTTCGCATGGTGGTGTGCACGGCATTTTGTAACTTCAGGGCGACTGGCCGAACAGCCACGTCTTTGCCAACATCTTTATGAATCGCACGAAGCCTGATGTGAAGTTCAAACTCCATCTGCTGCTTTTTGAGGGACAATAATAGATTTTTTTTCATACGTTTTTCAAGGCTTTTTAAGTGAAGTGCGTTTAATTTTTATCGTATTTAAAAATTGAATTCATTAAGATAGGATTTTACACTATTTGCTTAATGTTGTTCTGTATATTGTTTGATGAGAAATAAAAGCAAAAGCTGAGGGGTTTTTTGTTGGTGGTGTACCATTATCAGTCGTCTTCGCAAATATACACGATCACTACTCTAAACTGACGGTGACAGACAGTGATTAACCTCATTTTGTGATGGACGAACACAATCACCTGATCACATTTATATTAAGCACGCAATTTGCGCTTGTCCGTAAATTACATTTACAAAGCGAGCCTACAATACCAGAAATTAGCTCTTTTTTTTTCGTAAAAGTAGGTACCTGATTAATGAAATTGTTAATGAAATGATTAATTTTATTGTTGTTCAATTTAGTTTTATTAGTTTCATACATATTATTTCCATATACAGTATATTGAGATTATTTGTTTTGTACAAATAATCTCAAGCTTTAAGGGGTTTTACATGGTTCTTTGATTGTAGTGTGGGTATGGTGAAGTGTAGCTACTAAAAACAGACATGTGTCCTTCAAATGAACCCACAACCTAAGCAAAGTTCTTCTCACTGCAATTTCTACCAAGGAGGACAATCCAACCCCCCCCCCATTATATTGGGCTGCTGTTGTACATAAAAGCATGCCAATAGTTTATGCAATAATTTAATGTGTTCATGTGAAGGTTACTAAAATAATAGCAAATAATGATCGATTTGGGGGGGAAAAAATCTATAACTTTTGGGTGAACTTGACTATCAGCCTCCACATCCTGGTCAAATGGCCTCCTCGAAAGCTGGTACTATAACCATGTTGGGAAAGTAAAAAGGGGTGCATTTCATGTTGACTTTAGAAACCTTTGTGTTATTCTGCGATCCCTGTCTTAATTGTAGTGATGCACAAAGTTTAGATTAACTGGGGCCTGAAGGAAGTAATTAGATTAGTGTTTTTATAAATTATCGGTTGGACGTTAATCAGGTGAGTTGCCGTCAAGTTTTCCTTTCCCATAACACACATTATTCGCAAGTCACAGTGTACAGTAAGCCTTGTGCTAAGATGAAATCAGTCTCTGATGTTTAATTTCAGTTTCACAAATTCTCTCTATACTCGCTTTTTGATTGCTTTGCTTCATTTGTCTTAACTGCTGAATGAGCTGTCATGGTGGGCTTGCCTGATGCATTTCCAGCCATGACTGACAATATTTCTACCCTGATGTCTTTTTAATCTAATTCAGTTGTTTTATGTGTATAAATATAAAATGTTTTTTTTTTTTCATGTTGTTTCTTCTTTTTATTTCTCCCAGCTGCCAAAACCCTTCAGATCTTTAACATCGAGATGAAGAGTAAGATGAAAGCCCACACCATGACTGATGATGTCACTTTCTGGAAGTGGATCTCTCTTAACACCATTGCCCTGGTGACCGATAACGCTGTCTATCATTGGAGCATGGAGGGAGACTCTCAGCCGGTCAAAGTGTTCGACAGACATTCCAGCCTGGCGGGCTGTCAAATCATTAACTACCGCACCGATGCCAAGCAGAAGTGGTTGCTGCTCATTGGCATTTCTGCTCAGGTGTCATAATCATTTTAAATAATCACTCTGGATTTTTGGTCTACAGTTACACACATTATTGCTCTTGTTCTGCACATGCTCAAGTCGTTTTTGTTATTTCTTGCTTTCATCATTTCTTGTTCATTTAATCATTTATTTATTTTCTTTTTTTTTCTGTAACTTATTTCCTTTATTATTGATTCTATATTCATTATTATTATTAGTAGTAGTTGTATTTTATTTCCTTATTTTTTTTGTCTGTCTTTCTTTCAGTCAAACGATGGATACTGAATCAAGGGTGTTTTTCAAATCTCTCAAGTATTCTGTTTCTTGTTACAGCAAAACCGAGTTGTTGGTGCCATGCAGCTATACTCAGTTGAAAGGAAGGTGTCACAGCCTATCGAGGGTCATGCCGCTGGCTTTGGACAGTTCAAAATGGAGGGAAATGCAGAAGAATCCACTCTCTTCTGTTTTGCTGTGCGAGGTCAGGCAGGAGGAAAGGTGCGTTTCCAGATGTATTTATCACATTTAATTGCATTAACTAGAAATATTTTATTCAGCAAAGAGGTATACACTGTAAGTATTCATAACACAGTTGTCTAAGAAAGAGAGGAAGTGGTCTGGGCAGATTTTTTGGGTGTAAACTACAGTTTTTGAGGAAGAGGTCATTTAACTTGCTAGTTTTAGTTTCAGATGTATGTTTTGTTTTGTTTTTCTCCAGAGCTAATTATTTATGATCACTTAATTTGTCACTTATACTTGCATTATTTTGTGTGTATTACTTCAAAACATAAAATTAACTAAAGAATTTATTATGCAGCTTCACATTATTGAAGTGGGGACACCACCAACCGGCAACCAGCCATTCCCAAAGAAAGCTGTGGACGTGTTCTTCCCTCCAGAAGCACAGAATGACTTCCCCGTTGCCATGCAGGTATGTGGTTTCTTGGACTTTTTTCCAGTGAAAGAGGCATTACTTTGTTTCTTCCTTCCTCCTTTACTGGATGTCCCTTCTTTTTCAAATAAATGCTGCTCTTCTGAACTTAATATTCATCAAAGAATCCTGAAAAAAAAATCTTAATAAGCAGCACAACTGTTTTCAACATTGATAATAACAAGAAATGTTTTTTGAGCACCAAATCAGCATATTAGAATGATTTTGGAAGGATCATGTGACAGGAATAATGGTTCGGAGTATTCAGCTTTGCTATCAGGAATAAATTACATTATAAAATATATTCAAATATAATTTTGTTTAATCATACTGAGATTTCATAATATTACTGTTTTTACTGTATTTTTGATTAAATAAATGCAGCCATTTAAGCATAAGAGAATTATTTTAAACAAACATAAACACAAAAATCTTACCAATTCCAAAGTTTTGAACACAAATATAAATTCATCCAGATTTGAACTGAACATATTTCTCGTCACACAGATCAGCTCCAAACAGGACGTCGTATTTCTCATCACTAAATACGGTTACATTCATCTGTATGACCTGGAGACGGGCACCTGCATCTACATGAACAGAATCAGCGGAGAGACCATTTTTGTGACGGCACCCCATGAAGCCACATCTGGAATCATCGGCGTGAACAGGAAAGGACAGGTACATGCTGAACATTAAATTCAAATTAACCCAAGTGGTATAAATAATGTCAAAACGGGATACATTTATGCTGGATCTCAGAACGGTTTAAATAAACAGGTGTTCAGTATCTCAGGTGAGCCGACGCTCATGTCTGCCGGATCTCTCTGTTCACCATGCTCCATTATGAGCTTGTTAATTGATCCCGTGAGCGTGTAAATAATTTTCCAGTCATGCCAGAGAAAGTCTTGAATTATTCAGTGCGTGACAGAAAGCCAATCCAAACTGTGTCACGCTGAACCTGAAGAGCACTGTTTCCTTTGTCAATAATACAGAACCTCCACCTCGGTCAACCAACAATGCCATGCAGAACATCACAAAGGTGAAAGGCATAGCGTTAATGCATTGATCGTCTGTAGGGTTATGTGTGTTTTAGTTTCATTTTGTAGAGCGTTACGTAATTGGGTTACGATAAGTTTGTCTGTTATTTAACATGGTGGTAGTAAGATCTAATATATTATGGATGGATTGGTGTTAGAATAAATGTCATGTCTGAATATGATTTATTTAAGTTTAGGTAAAGGAAAAGGAATGCAGATCTCTCTTCCTGTCTCTGTTTCTCCTGCTCGTACTGGCATTCTCCATCTTCCTGTCCTCTGCACCAGTCAGCACTGGTGGGTGATGAAAAGTCAGGTTCTAACCAGCTGCGTCTGCACTCGTGAGCGTAGTGACCTTGAGAGAGAGCCTTCACTGAAAATAGCTGCAAGAGGAAGACGGACTGAGAGAGAAAAAAAAGTGTCAGTTATCATGTGATCTTGCAGTGGGAGGCATTGACTGACGTCCTAAATCCTTTCACGTTAACAGAGGTAGAACCTGACCGCCAATCACAGTGCGTGTAGGCAGAATGTATCATCAGTTTCTGTGACATCACACTTTGCCCTCCCTTTTTTCTTTGATCAGGCCTACTATACTGCTGTAACATGACTCTCAATGAGTTAAATATCTGGTCTATTAGTACTTCAGGCCCTAGACAGCTCATTCAGACTTGAAAAAAATCTGACTTTATGTAACAGAATCACTAAACATTGTATTATGTTAACCTACTGTATATAAATTGCACACACAAGTTTTGTTCTTGTATTATGGCAAAATAAAATTTGGCATAATAAATCGATTAAAATTATTTTTACAAAATCAAAAAGCAGATGCACAGTATTGTTATTATTATTATTAAATTATAATATAAATTATTATAATAATAATTAGTAATACACTACTAATAATTAGTAATATTATTAATTAATTTAGTAGTAATAATTTATTAAATTAGGATTTTTAATAATGTATCTATTTGTTAATAGTTCATCTGTTTATAGTTATACTAAAAATAATAATACAATTAAAATGTGTTTCTGCTTTTTAACATAAATACATTTACATAACATAAGCAATTCATCACGGATAGATAAAACAGTTAAATTATTAACAGTAATAATTTTATTTATTGTTATAGTTATTATTGTTGTTGTCATGGTTAATAGCAATATACAAATTATTTAGAAATTATTTTTGTACACTTTTTAATCTAAATGGTTGCATTATTTGTATTATTTTGAGTTTTTGCTACACTGCCTAAGAATGAATGAAAATGTATATATTCCAAACATTTATTATATATTATATAGCATTATTTATTATTTGGCATTATATAATCCTTTTTTTTTTTTTTTAAGAAACTGGGATGGGTATTATCTTGTCCGACTGATAACACATACTGGGATGTACTCTGTGCAGGTGTTTGTGTTGTTTGGGGTCCTCATCAGGAGTGACTCATTATTACTACCATCATCTCCTCAGACATTGGGCTTTTATTGACGTCAGTGCAGCGTTCTTCCCCCATGGACCACTGCAGCTTCTGTCTGTCACGCGCACGCACGCACGCACAAATGTAATCTCCCGTTCACTTGCCCTCTCCTTTTCTTTCTCTCTCACTGCCTCTTTGTGGGGGAAAGCTGATAGACACAATGAGCTGCTCTATTTTTACTCCTCTCTTTAGTGTCTCTGCCTTCCTCCATCTGTGGGGGAGCTGACCCATATTGTTGGGGGATGAACGTGCGGGTTTAAGCAGAGAGTGATGTTCATCCATGCAGAATAATACCTGTGACTTTGACCTGCTGATGCCGATCTAGAACACACAGTAGCGTACAAACGCTTACGACATGCACTTACAGCAGAGATACAGAAATTTACAGTGTGATCTTGGCCGCAAGCAGTTAAAATAGTCCCAGACTGGGGGAAAACGTTTTAATCTTGGTTGTTTATTATAAACTGGCCTCACTTGTCTAGTGTAATCCATGTTCACACAAGTTAAGCATCATAAATCTGTTTTATTGGTTTGTGGATGTGTTTCAACCTAGTAGCTGAGGAAATCGTCCTTCCAGGCTTCAATATGTACTGTACCTCCAGAGAAATATTGCAGAACATTGTGCTTTGATGGGCTTTGGCGGCTTCAGCTTGTGTCTCTTGGCCAAACATCTACAGTAGTAATATCAAACTTTAAGCATCTCTCAAACAACCTCTTGGCTGGTCCGTAATTCCTAGAGATCTCATTAGTACCATTTTATTGGAAATAAAGATACAAGATGTTTGGTCAAAGCAGTGACATTGGTTGAAAGGGGACACCTTTTACGTCTCATCTGATCATGTTACATACTAGAGACAAGCATTAGTATGCACCTTAGCTTCAGTGTGAGGACGTCAGCTGATACGAGGTGTTACGTTTCTCATTAAGGGTCCTTGATATTATATAACAGATCACTTGTGCTGTGTGTGTGATGGATGTTCCAGCTGCTTTTATGCAGGTAAAAGTGACCAAGAAAACTACCAAGGGAATTTCCTATTTGCACCTCCTTCCTGTGAAGATGCTAAATTACATTAAAGCTCTGCTGAGAAAATTTGAGAAAAGACATTTAAAACATTGAGCAATCAATAAGAACATTTTACTATTATTAGTGAGTAATATTAGTATCTATATTAACAAATAGATAAATGATTAACAACAAAATAGTAATGATAATAAAAATAACAGGAACAATAATATTATTGTAATTTAAAGGGTTAGTTCACCCAAAAATTTAAATTTGCTGTTAATTTACTCACTCTCAGGCCATGTAAGATGTAGGTGACTATTTTCTTCAACAGAACAATAAAGAAGATTTTTAGGTGAAACCATTGTCCTTGGTAATTGATACGCTGTGTGTCTCAAAAAAAAAAAATATATATACACAGGCAAGACCAAATTAATACCCGTGGCTCCTGACAATACATTGAGGTCTTATGAAGCGAAACGATTCATCTGTGCAAGGAAGTGACAATTATTTACAATATTACTACCTTTAATCCACTGCCTGGGCAAACAGTTCTCAGCACCCTCACGACTGTCTGTAGCACAAACTTCCGGTGGCATAATAACGTATGTGTGGGCACATACTCAAACATAAGCTGATGCTGTTTGTTAACAACGGAGAGTGAGGTCTCATGTGCAGACCTTCACCAGCGGTACCAACGTCTAAAGCTCACAATGTAAAAGTTACAATGGATGATGATTTCAATGTGAAAGAGGATGACATGGAATTTTATGCACAGCCCTACTTGTTCGAACCAAAATACTCCGACCAAGAACTGAGAGAGATGATCAAGAACACACGTTGTTTACAACGGAGAGTGAGGACATTTCTCAATATGTTTAATTCAAAAAGCTTACTGTTCGTGTGTTAGAGTTGTTCATTCTCTATTTTTCTGATCTGGCTCTCTATGTAATAGAAATGTACTCTGAAAGATTAAATGTCTCATTTTGTCTGACCTTCCTTTTCGTCGTTCTGAAGGTAAATTACTAATTGCAAACATAAATCTCAAACTTTATAACTCCATTTTGTGTGTGTGTGTGTGTTTCGTAGGTGTTGTCAGTGTGTGTTGAGGAGGAGAACATCATCCAGTACATCACCAATGTGCTGCAGAATCCAGACCTGGCTTTACGGATGGCGGTCCGAAATAATCTGGCAGGAGCCGAGGAGCTGTTTGGCCGCAAGTTTAACAACCTCTTTGCCGCAGGAAACTACTCTGAGGCAGCTAAAGTGGCCGCTAATGCTCCAAAGGTGAGTAGGGCTGATTATTTTTGTAATATGATGTTTAATAATAACATATTTTAAATTAAATAGAATAATTTATTATAATTAACTTAAACAAAGCACTTTTTTATAATAATTATATTATAGTAAACATTTTAGCATTATTATATAATACTTCTCTTCACTTCTTGTTTATCTCAGGGTATCCTGCGCACTCCTGACACCATCCGTCGGTTCCAGGGCGTCCCGGCTCAGCCCGGCCAGACATCCCCACTCCTGCAGTATTTCGGGATCCTGCTGGACCAGGGCCAGCTCAACAAGTTTGAGTCTCTGGAGCTGTGCAGACCAGTCCTTCAGCAGGGCCGCAAACAGCTTCTGGAGAAATGGCTGAAGGAGGACAAGGTATGTGGAGGAGGTCCCAGGGGAGATGGTTATCTCCACACACAGCCACAAGAGCCTCTTCCTCTGTACGCATGTGTGTGTGTGTTTGTGCGAGAGGCTCAAGGAACAGGGTGTGCTCTTCGCATGCGTTTTTCTTCTTCCATAAACCGAAAGAATGCCTCCATATTTTTGTGACAAAGAAGGGGTCTGTGTGAAAACAGACTGTGGATTATGAGAACAACTGTGTTTGTGTGTGAATGTGTGTGTCTGTTATCTAAGATGTTTGCTTTAGATGTGATGTCATGTGTTTGTTATGTGGGGCAAGGGGTATTTGGGTTTTCTCCTTCTAAAGCACAGAGGAAAGTCTTGGGTTTCATTCCAGTCTGTTTTTTACAATCCGCACTTAAAATAACTGAAATAAAATGCTCTTTCTCATAGCCTCAACAAGTTACATCTCTCGACTTGGTTTATTGATTGAACTGACGTGATTTGTTGCCCCACAACCATGATTTATTTAAAGAGTTAAGGACCATGATGCTATGCTCAGTCCTGAAATATTCCTGAAATAACGGAAAAATACACACAAAGATCACTATACCAAATCAAGTTTTCCTTGTATTAATTTCAACCTTACAATTGGACCCTCCTTCACAACCATTTAAAAAATTTGGGGTCAGTGTTTTTTTTTTTATATATTTTTTTTTTTCTTTTATTCAGCAAGGATGCATTAAATTTACCAGAAATTACAGTAAAAAACTTTCATAATGTTACAATTGATTTATATTTGAAATAAATGCTTTTTAACAATCTATTCATCAGATAATCCTGAAATAAAAACATTTCCAGTGCTCCAACACAACTGCTTTTTATCATTAATGATGATGATAAATGTTATTTGAACACCAAATCAGTATATTAGAATGATTTCTAAAGGATCATGTGATACTCACTGAAGACGCTTTTTTGTGAATCATTTTGCCAAAAGAACCGGTTCTTAAGAATCAAATTACTTTGAATTCACACCGCATTCTTAAATCGTATTTAACCTTAATGGTAAATTTCTGTTGTTTCTCTTCAGCTTGAGTGCTCAGAGGAGTTGGGCGACTTGGTGAAGTCTGTGGACCCCACTCTTGCTCTTAGTGTCTACCTGAGGGCCAACGTACCCAACAAAGTCATTCAGTGTTTTGCAGAAACCGGCCAGTTCCCCAAGATTGTCCTGTATGCCAAAAAGGTATGATGACTGATCAGTCAATTTGAAGTTTAAAAAGTATTGAATTAGATTGTCCTGTATGCCAAAAAGGTATGATGACTGATCAGTCAATTTGAAGTTTAAAAAGTATTGAATTAATTAAAATAGAAATACTCATACCTCATTTGGCGTTTATAGGTGGGCTACACCCCAGACTGGATCTTTCTGCTGAGGAACGTGATGCGGATCAGTCCGGATCAGGGTCTGCAGTTTGCTCAGATGCTCGTTCAGGATGAGGAACCGCTGGCTGACATCACACAGGTCAGGAACAGAGGAGGAGAAGAGAAGAAAGGAGTGGGAGGTTGAGAAGAAAGATTTCAAATGATTTAGAGAGAAACGATGTGACCCAGAGGCTGTTTGTTAAGACTCAAATTTAGGAGCTGTGAAAGACGTTCACTGAAAAATTTGTTTTTCTCCCAGATCGTTGATGTGTTTATGGAGTATAACCTGGTCCAGCAGTGCACGTCCTTCCTTTTGGATGCTTTAAAAAACAACCGCCCATCAGAAGCTCCATTGCAGACCCGTCTGCTGGAAATGAACCTGATGCATGCACCACAGGTACACACTGCACACTGAAAAGCATCTGGATTGTCATTGTGTTAGACAAGTTTCAAGCAAAACGGTCTCTTGCAGGTTGCAGATGCCATCCTAGGAAATCAGATGTTCACTAACTACGATCGTGCCCACATTGCCCAGCTGTGTGAGAAGGCAGGGCTTCTGCAGAGAGCTTTAGAGCACTATACTGACCTGTACGACATCAAACGAGCTGTCGTACACACACACCTGCTCAACCCGGAGGTACCCAGCAAGTTCTTTTTTATCATACTGAATTGAAGTGTGACCTTCTTTTTCATTCTGTCTCTCTTCGTTTTGCACTCTGTTATTGTCTGCAGTGGCTGGTGAACTTTTTTGGCGCTCTGTCAGTGGAGGACTCTCTGGAGTGTCTAAGAGCCATGCTGTCCGCTAACATCAGGCAGAACCTTCAGATCTGTGTCCAGGTGGCCTCCAAGTATCATGAGCAGCTATCTACCCAGGCGCTCACTGAGCTTTTCGAGTCTTTCAAGAGTTTTGAGGGTAAGAACTAGATTCCTCATAATTTATTAACATGTGATGTCACTGGAAAGTTCAAACACTTTGACATGGGACAGCTCGGAAATATCAGGGAATCTTAAAAGTTTTTTTTTTTTTTTTTTTTGACAAGAAAAGTCTGTTTTAAGTGATTTAACGAACTAATCAACAAATTTGTTAGCTAAAACCAATAACCTTATCCAATAAACACAAACAACTGTAAAGTTCATAAAGTACATTCAAAAACAATAAGACTGAATAAGAAGGGTTGGATAAACGCAACATTTTTTCTGCATATGAATCCCACTTAGAGTATACATTGCCCATGTAGTTTCTTCTGATATATCTGGCAAGCCTAAGAATTCTGTTGGCAGGCACTGCAAGAAAGTCACTCTTGAGTGTATTTAAACTTGTACGTAAACACTCGTGGTCACTCTGCTGGTTGCCTTTCATAGTGCAGACACATTTGACTGGTATCTTGGCCGTAAAATGGCTCTGTTCTGTGTGTGGAGCAGCATGTAGCCTTCCGTTCTGGGCTAAGTAGGACAAAAGGTTTGGCAATCAGAGCAGGCAGCGGCCACCCACAATCCCTCAGGCTTTTCATATGACAAGAGTGCTTTTGACAAGAAGCAAAATTGTAATGGAAACGCAATGCTCATGCAGATGTAGCGGCCTAATCTGTAATTTTAAAGGGTTTGTGCACCCTTTCATCATTTACTCACCCTCATGTCATCCCAAACCCATTTGACTTTCCTCTGTGGAACAAAATATTTTAAAAGAACAAAAATCCCATTAAAGTATCACACAAAATCTGCATATACGAAACGTGTAGATCAAACCGTAACCACAATCAGACATCTGTCCAGTAACTGTCAAGCGTCATTTGTTGTTCTGTGCTGGATGCAGGTCTGTTCTACTTCCTTGGCTCGATTGTGAACTTCAGCCAGGACTCAGAGGTGCATTTCAAATACATCCAGGCCGCATGCAAGACGGGCCAAATCAAAGAGGTGGAGCGGATCTGTCGGGAAAGCAACTGCTATGACCCTGAACATGTCAAGAACTTTCTCAAGGTACTGCCAAGACTGTCAGTGAAACCCCTCGAAATGATCCATAGCTGACCACAAAAAGCACATTATATTCTCTAGTTTCTCATCTGTTAAAACGCTTTCCATCTTTTTTCCTCGTTACATTTCCTGCTTTGTTCTCTTCTACTGATCTGTCTTTTATCATTTACATGCAAGCCTTTTGCAATTTCAGATGCAAGTGGACAAAATTGTAACAGATTTTTTAACGGAAATGTCTGTTTGATCCTTGTCATTTTATGATAAAGGAATATTCTGAGTTTAATAAAAGTTCTATTAGCTCTATAAACACCATTTGCTGCAAATGTCAATGTCAGTTACCACTGAAAAAAAGGAATATTTAAACAGTTTAAAATTCAACACAAATTATGGTAACTAAGTACTGTTAAAATAAATATTAAATATGCATGGAAACAAGCCACAAGATTGAAACCTTCATAATGATCTCAAATTAAGCTCTTTTAATAGCATTTGTGGCATCATGTTGATAAGCGCATTAAATAATTGTAACTAATCTTTACTTGTTTTATTTAAGAATTTTTATCTTTTTATTATTACTTTTTTTTTATATTATCATTTATTTATTCATTATTATACAGACAAGGTTAGTAAGTGATTCCATCAAAATAGTCTCATGCTAAAATAAATATTTGCTTAATTTTAATAATTGCACATAAAATCACTTACTAGTCTTGTGTGTGTTAACTCAATATTCCAACTTCGTTTGCTGACGTAATGGCCACAGGAATTATGTCAGAAGTGCATAACCAGAAATTCATCTACTTTGAAGGTTATTTCTAAGTCAAAAGAGCGATTTGGAAAATTCTCCAGCTCAAATAATAAACCGTTTTTACTGAACAATTCAATAAAGTGTTTCAACAAAAATACCAGCTTCAGATTTCTGCTTCTAAACCCTCCAGAACCCTGACCTGGTGTACATCCATTGGATGCGTTTTACTGTGAAAATAGAATAAATAATATTAATAATAAAATAATTGAAAAATATATATAAAATAAAATATAGAAAAATGTAATTTAAGATAAAAAAATAAGGATGAGTTGAAATTATTTTATGTGGTAGTCAACAAATGCTATTAATAAAAGAGATTGTTTTATATTGGATTCAGTACATTGTTTTAGTGTCATTGAAATTGAATAAACATATGCACAATAAAACAGAACATTTAATATCTTGGAAGTTTGGGGGAAAATCCAATAAAGGTTGTTTTCTCTTTTTATTAACAAATGATCCCCATTTACATCAGGCTCCCTATTTAGGATTTCTAGTTTTAGGGAGTTGATCTCACTCTTTTATCCTGATGGCGGCTGTTGTTATCTCCTGTGCTTTACCCTGTACTTATGGGATGGTCAGGACTTGTATCAGGTAAATTGACCCTAAGTACTACAAAACTCTCTTTACTTTATTCCCTTCTCTTTTCTTTTGTCATCCCTTCTTTTCTCCTAGTGGTCAGTTGAAGGATTAATACTGGGATTGGTGTGTGCGATGCACATACAGGGAGGTTTCGAAAAGCATTGACTGCTGGGAACAACCCTCTCTTGGCCTGAACTTGAAATCGTAGCGAGTGACCGGGCTGAGATTGCGTTTGTGGTTTTGTGGTAGTGTGTTGATGTGTGTTTGGCTGTGGTTGATTTGTGGTGACCATGTTCTGCAGAAATGGAAGCCTCGGGTCTTTTTCAGAATCTATTCCACCAGAGTCAGACCTTATAAAGTTGACTTCTCTGTTGGACTCTGCCAGCTTCAAAGGGTGGATCCGGAAAGCCAAGTTTTGTGGAATGATTTTGAGACTGGTTCAAGTTTAATATAGTCTTGTTTAAGGCTTCACTGCAAATGTTCAGCCTCTGTAAATATCTGAAGACACGCTTAATGTGTTGAAGGTTGTGGAGGTTGATTTGTGGCGTTTCTTTGGAGTGAATTGTACAATCCCAGTTCATTAATCCTGTATGTGTTGTAAACTGTACTGTGGCAAAAGAAGTTTTAAATGTTTTAGCCAGCAGGGGGAGTAATACTGCCACCTCAAAGTTTGACATGATTCAAGCCTTGTTTTCAGTTATAGACCTTCTTTTAACCACTAACCACACAATTCTTCAAAAAAACATATTTTGTGGACTACTCAGTTATCCTCGAATCATGTTTGTAACATTCTCAATTTGTCATGGTTAATTTTTTTTTATTGCTTTAACATTTTTTTTTAATTATATCTTTAAATTGTGAATTATAAGGTAGTTTTTGATAGAACTTGTTTTAAATATTAATTACTTGGTAGGTTTATATAGAACTAGTTTGTATTGCTTTAATGTTTACTTGTTAAATTATGAATTAGGTTTTTGTAGAACTAGTTTTTATGGCCTTAAAGGTGCTATATGTAGGATTGACACCGAGTGGTTGAACTAGGTATTGCAGTCCAAATTAAAAATATTGGAGAGGGGTTTTTTTCACCCGGCCCCTCCTCCTCAGACTTGATGCACACACAGGTTGCCAGATTGACGACACCAACAGGAACGAGCGCACATGACGATGAATGAAATGAAATACGCTGTGTTTTCCGCCAACTGGCAACCCGGGGTGATGAAATACAATTGGGTAAACTGGCAGTGGGCGGGTTTCACAAACCAAAACAGAGACCGACATTTCGGCCCGGAACGCACATTTTCAAAGGAGAATGAATAACTGACTGTAGCATTGTTTTTCAGATAAACAAGTATGTTAACTTAGCATGTTTCTTAAATATCTGCAAACATATTATGGTATTTTTATGCTTTAGTAGAGTCAAAAACTTACATACAGCACATTTAATATTTACTTTTATAAATATGATTTTACTTGGTAGGTTTTTGTAGAACTAGTTTGTATTGCTTTAATGTTTACTTTTTTAAATTATGAATTAGGTTTTTATAGAACTAGTTTTTATGGCCTTAATATTTACTTTTTTAAATCTGATTTACTTGGTAAGTTTTTATAGAACTAGTTTGTATTGCTTTTAAATTATTCTTTTTTTATTATTATTTACTTGGCAGTTTTTATACAACTGGTTTTTTTATTGCTTTAATATTTACTTTTTTAAATTATGAACTACTCAGTAGGTTTTTGTAGAGCTAATCATTTTCAGTAATTTTAGTCAACAAATACAGTTAAATCTGTTTCATAAACTTAAAACAGTTTTGTCATCCTTTAAGTTATGTAACTTTAAATCTTATACTGAATAATTAATGAAATGTTTTGAATAAAAATTCATTTTAGAATTTACTCTTAAACTTTTGCAGATTTGACTGTATTATTGAACTGATGTTATCTTCTCATCTCCCCAACGTTTGACTGACAGGAAGCTAAACTCACGGACCAGCTGCCTCTCATTATTGTGTGTGATCGCTTTGACTTCGTCCATGATCTTGTACTCTATCTGTACCGAAACAACCTGCAGAAGTACATCGAAATCTACGTGCAAAAGGTGAGTAACCTTTACTTACCGCTCACATTAGAGCCCTGCACGGGCCTCAAATTTAGGCCCTAGCCCGGTCCTGGCCCGAGACGCTCAGGCCCTAGCATGGCCCATGTCCGACAGCTTATCAGAATTACCGGCCCGAGCACGTCTTTTTTTTCCCCTTCTCCCAAAACAGCTTATACTACTGTTTCAGCTATTAAAATAGTTCAGTTTTGTATGTAATAGCAAAGTGATTATATTTCGTTTCATTTTTTTATGAAGTTAATTAAAAAAAAAAGTTTCGAGCATTTTTTGTTCGTTAAATATACGTTTTTGTTTTTTAAAAGTAACAACCAAGTGGCCAGCGGCAGACAGTGAGCCTATGTTTGATCAATTTAGCCCAGGATGGGCAAACTTGGCCCTTCCAGGGCACTTTCCTGCAGAGATTTGATCCAACCCTGATAAAACTCACCTGCCTGTAGCCTTCTAGTAGTCTTGAAGACAATAGGCTTGTTTGAGATGCGCCTCGCCTTGCCTGAAATGTAGGTGAGAGTAGGCGGCTGCAGTGAGGGGAGGAGTGAAATAAGCGCAGGCAAGACGGACAGTTCGTGGATACGCCGTCATTTTTACTCATAAGAGTAATACATCATTCGTAACTGTAAAGGGTCTACTTTTATTTGTATGCACTCACAATATCAACAAAACGTTGTGCTTTTATAAAATAAAGAAAACAAACATGATGCGCTTTCTGCCGTCTCGTCTTTGAACAGGAGCGCTTACAAAAATGAACCAAAACTCAGCGAATACATGATAAATATATCTATAGAAAGCTTTAAATTACTACTTAACGAAATAAAACAAATCAAAAACAAAAACTCTTTCATTATCATAATCCGTAAAGATGCACTTCTCTCTAAAGGCGTGTTTAATGAAGAAGTGGCGAGTCAGTATCGGCAACTTCATCCTTGCGACACCGACTCAGAAAACACTAGTTTATTAGTAAATAACTCAAATATCTCCTTACTATTTCCCCCTGACACATTTACAGTAATTACTTTTGCCGGTGCTTTGCGGCAAGCTTAAGCCTATTGCTTGCATTTGAACACAGAACTGTTCAGCTGCGCTGACGGTACGCACCATACATACTGCTGCTGCGGGACACTAAACACCGTCGAGCCGCTCTTGACAGTCGCGGTAGCACGGTCTCGTGTTGTTTCCACCAGCGAGGCAATTTTTTTCATCACTAATTGATGGATGTCTAAAATATAAAAATAAGGAGAAGCCTAAAACAGGCCTGAGGCCCGGCCCACGTCTTAACTATGATATGAAAATTGGCCCGAAGCCCGGCCCGAGGGGCGTAAAAAAGTTGGGGCCTGTTGGGCTCGGGCTGAAATGCAGGGCTCTAGCTCACATAGCCTCTGTAGTCAAGCAATGAACAAACAGTAAATTATCATTTATGTATATATAGGTGAACCCAAGCCGTTTGCCTGTGGTAATTGGAGGGCTCCTGGATGTTGACTGCTCCGAGGACGTCATCAAAAACTTGATCCTGGTTGTGCGGGGCCAGTTTTCCACCGATGAGCTGGTGGCAGAAGTGGAGAAGAGAAACAGGTATAAACTTTGCATCCAAACGTCAATATCAAACCAGAAGTTATCAAAACAAAGCACTTGAGACGTTGATGTTATGCTATCTTGGATTCAAAACTACTACAGGATGCTTCTGTTTATTTTAGGTGATGTTTAATCATTTGTTTGTGTACATCATGAGAGTTTCCAGATGAAACTTTGATTGCACAAGTAAACAAAGAACACAAACAGCAGTAGCTGTTCTGATTGTTTAACAACAGCTCTAGCAGTTGCAATATGCTATATAGTCATTTTATGAGGGGGGAAAATGACTTATTTTGGAAAAACATAAAAGTTAACTAAACATAAACAGCTTTAGATATGTCTTTCTTCTGCAGACTAAAGCTGTTGTTGCCATGGCTAGAGTCTCGTATCCACGAGGGCTGTGAGGAGCCAGCTACCCATAATGCCTTGGCCAAGATCTACATTGACAGCAACAACCACCCAGAACGCTTCCTGCGGGAAAACCCATACTACGACAGCCGTGTGGTGGGGAAATACTGCGAGAAAAGAGACCCTCACCTGGCCTGTGTGACCTATGAGAGAGGACAGTGTGACCAGGAGCTCATCAATGTTAGTATGCTTGTCCATAAATAAGCTTTAAGCTTTTTCATACCAAGTTTAGAGCAACCAACAACAATATAAAGCATCAAATTTGTATCTTTTATTTTTCTTTACAGGTGTGCAATGAGAACTCGCTGTTCAAGAGTTTGTCCCGTTACCTGGTGCGCCGCAGAGACCCAGAGCTTTGGGCCAGCGTGCTTTTAGAGACCAACCCCTACAGGAGGCCCCTTATTGACCAGGTACACATATGTGTTACATTCATCTCTCACCATAGGGCTGTGCAAAAAATCGAATGCGAAAGCACATGCTGGAGATTTATTACTAATCACAGGAGCGCCTTTACTGACGAGATGCGCATGAAAATCGCATTCGATTTTTTGCACAGTCCTATCTCACCATATACAAACATGGATCATAGAGGAATTGAAAGTACATGTCTATATTTTATTAATTTTACATTAATATTGGGTGAAATAGATGAGTGTTATTGACACTTAAATGCATTGAATTTATAATTGGCATGCAAGAATCTGAGAAAAGTTTGTTGCGGTACATTCTGGGATTCATAATCTAAGTTATCTTAGACAGCATAATTATTCTACCATCTGTTTTGAACAGTCTTTACTTTGGAAAGCGTTCCTGTGATCCCTTAATATTCTTCCTAGATAGGCTCACTAGGCTTTGTAACAGACGTTTAGAGTCAGTAAATTATTATTATTATTATTTTTGAAAGAAATTAGTACATCATAAATCTATAAATCAGCTACTAAAAGCTGAATAAATAAGCTTTCCATTGATGTATGGTTTGTTAGGATAGGACAATATTTGGCCGAGATACAACTATTTGAAAATCTGGAATTTGAGGGTGCAAAAAAATCGAAATATTGAGAAAATCGCCTTTAAAGTTGTCCAAATTAAGTTCTTAGCAATGCATATTACTAATCAAAAATGAAGTTTTGATATATTTACGGTAGGAAATATCTTAATATCCTAATGATTTTTGGCATAACAGAATAATCGATCATTTTGACCCATACAATGTTTTTTTGGCTATTGCTACAAATATACCCCAGCGACTGGTTTTGTGGTCCAGGGTCACATATGTCTTAAAATCTCTGATTCCCTTTTGACCTTCCTGCATGTTTTTTTGAATATCAAGTTGTTATTTGTCTTTAGGTGGTGCAGACAGCCCTGTCAGAGACTCAGGACCCAGAGGAGGTGTCCGTCACAGTGAAGGCCTTCATGACTGCTGACCTGCCCAATGAACTCATTGAGCTGCTGGAAAAGATCGTCCTGGACAACTCGGTCTTTAGCGAACACAGGTGCATAAGCCCAAAAATATTCCAACATATGAACGTTTGGAACAGGCCATTTTTGTGTGTTTACGGACATGAAATTCCTTGCCCAAACAGTCTTGCGCAACCTTTTAATGCAATTTAATAACGTTTAATACAAGTCGAATCTTCATCCTGCTCCTAGAAACCTACAGAACCTGCTCATCCTAACAGCCATCAAAGCAGACCGCACCCGCGTCATGGAATACATCAACCGCCTGGACAACTATGATGCCCCAGACATCGCCAACATCGCCATTAGCAGCGAGCTGTTCGAGGAGGCCTTTGCTATCTTCAGGAAGTTTGACGTCAACACCTCTGCAGTGCAGGTATGTGTTTAAGCCATACTTTCAGTAGCCTTCTTTTTCAAGTGTAGGCTTGCTGAAGTGATTTATTGAATAGCAGATAAGGAAAGAGCTGATGTTTCCTGTCCTCCTCAGGTTCTGATTGAGCACATCGGTAATCTGGACCGGGCGTATGAGTTTGCGGAGCGCTGTAATGAACCTGCAGTGTGGAGCCAGCTGGCTAAGGCTCAGCTGCAAAAGGGTCTCGTCAAAGAGTCCATTGACTCCTACATCAAGGCAGATGACCCCTCTGCCTACATGGAGGTGGTTCAGGTCGCTTCCCAGAGTGGTACGTCCTCTTCAGCGCTAGTTCTAGATAAGGACATTTTTGCTCTGATTCTGTATTCACAACTGTATTTCCTGGCTCAGGCAACTGGGAGGACCTGGTGAAGTTTCTGCAGATGGCCAGAAAGAAGGCCAGAGAGTCATACGTGGAGACCGAGCTGATCTTCGCACTGGCCAAAACCAACCGTCTCGCTGAACTGGAGGAGTTTATAAATGGACCAAATAATGCACACATCCAGCAGGTAACGTACAATTGCTTTTTATTTTCTTGTGTTATAAAAGTGTTATAACAGTGTTATTACAGCATTATTAAAATACTGTTATAGTATTTATTAATATTTTTGTTATATTATTCTTATATTATTCTATTAAGTTATATTAATATTCTATTTTCAATTTTCAATTCACTTACATTTAGTATTTTTATTTAGCTTTTATTTTTATATTTTTACATTTTATTTCAGCAAAATGATAAAAAATAAAATTTAATAACAATTTTTAAATAAATAATTTAGCTGAAATATATATATATGTG